GCCCCTCCTCAGAAAACGCCCCGCTCGTCCCCTCGCGCCCCCCCCGCCGCGTCCCCTCCCCACAGGCCCGCTCCCTCACAGGCCGCGCCCACGACGACCCCTCCTCTCGGCCCAGCCGCGGCCCCTCCCCACTCTAGGGCCTGACCCCCTGTCCCGACCCAATCAGCCCGCGCCGACCTGCGCCTGCTGCTCAGGCCCGGCTCCCGCTCCGGCTCGGGCTCCCGCCCCGCTTCACCCCGACCAGCCGCGGTGTGCGGGTCCCGCTGCCTCCATCCCGCCGGCTTTCCCAGAAGCACCCGCGCAGCCTTAAAGGTGAAGCCACTACCTCGGCGGTGTCGGAGGGGGCGAAACACGCTCCAGTGGGCCGCTGGTTGCCTTAAAGGAGCGCGCAGGCCAGGCCTGCTCCGAGGGAAGGGCGGGGCACCGGGAGAGGGCGGGGCCGCCGAGGACCTGGGGCGTCGGCTTGCCCCGGGCGCGGGGGAACCCACTCGAGCTCGGGCTCGGGATTCCGCGGCTCTGCGAAACGCCCGGAGGCTCTGGCATGCGAATGCTCTGGAAGCAGCTCACCCTGTGCGGACGACAGCGAGGACAGCGGGGGAAACTGAGGCGCAGGGCGTAGTCTCGGACCCTCAGAGTCCAGAGCGAGTCGGGCTCAATGAGCCGTTGCCGTTGGCTGGGGCTTTCAGGCCTCACGAACATAGGTTTGAAGTGGGTGCTGCCACGGTCCATCCCTGATCGCTCATGTGTCCTTACCCTCTCCCCTTCCTCCCTTCAGAGATACCCATTTTTATTTTCTTTTTCCTCTTTCTATCGTCCTTTTTTTTTTGCTTGAACTCAGGCTTTGCAGTTGCTTAGCAGGCGCTTTACCCCCTGGCCCACACCTCCGGCCTTCCACCTTGCTGAGGCGTTTAGGCCGCTTCTGTGGACAAAGGATCAGTGCTCCTGCGTATGAAAAGGCTGGCATATTCTACTGACCTTATTATCAGGACAAAACGATTGTCCTTCCCTTCGTCTCAGATGGTGTCATTTAAGGCTCAGATTAGATGATACCTCCTCAGAGAGGCCCGCCTTGATCCCTCCCCCCTTCCAAAGGGGTTCATTAGTCCCTGCGCACTTCACCTTCTCTAGAGCATTAATATTTCCAACATTTTCATTGTTTCTTCCCACACATCCTTCTTGTTCACTCACAAATTAGCACATGGTATGAGACATGGCGGCACTTGGTAAACACTGGTTTACAAAAAGGCAGAAGGATACATCTATTGGCCTGGCTAAGTCTCTACAAAACCAGTTTCTGGTCTGGTTCTCTGCATCCCTGGATCAGTACTGCCCCTAACCACTTTGAGGTGGACAGTTCTAGAAGGTGATGGCAGGATGACTACCCTGAGGAACAAAAGCTGCATAATGAGGCCTGGTGTTGGCACCCTAGCTACCCAAACACCTGGAGTGTTTTCTTTCTTTCTCTTTCTCTCTCTCTCTCTCTGTTTCTTAAACTCTGGGCCTGGGTGCTGTCCCTAAGCTCTTTAGAACAAGGCTAGCTCTCTACTTCTTGAGCCACAGTGCCACTTTCGATTTTCTGGTGAATTATTGGAGGTAAAGAACCTCACAGACTTTCCTGGCCCGGCTCGTTTTGAATTGAGATCCTCAATCTCAGCCTCCTGAGTAGCTAGGATTACAGGTATGAGCCACCGACACCTGGATTTTTCTTTTCTTTTTTGCCAGTTCTAAGGCTTGAACTCAGGGCCTGAGCACTGTCCCTGAACTTTTTCTTGCTCAAGGCTAGCACTCATCACTTGAGCCACAGCACCACTCTAGCTTTTTCTGTTTATGTGGTACTGAGGAATCCAACCCAGCGCTTCATGCATGCTGGGCAAGCACTCTACCTAGACTAAGCCACCTTCCCAGCCTGGGTGTTTGTTCCTTCTTAGTAGAGTAGGGCTGGGTCCATACACAAGAGTTCACCAGGCCCAGCATCCTCATGGATCCTTAGATCCTCAATGTGCGTGTGACAGAGATGATCCTGCACCCTTAGCTTAAGTATCTGCTGTGACAGGGAGTTCACCCCTTCTTCCAGGACAACAGGGCAACTGTACAAGTTTTTCCTAGCTGGGTGCTGGTGGCTTATGCCTATACTCTTAAGTACCGAGGAGGCTGAGATCTGAGGATCGCAGTTCAAAGCTAGCCTGGGCAGAAAAAGTCCACGAGACTCTTTATCTCCAATCAACCACCAGAAAACTGGAAGTGGCACTGTAGCTAAAGTGGTAGAGCACTAGCTTTGATCTGAAGAGTTGAGGGACAGCGCCCAGGCCCAGAGTTCAAGCCCCACGACCAACAAAAAAAAAAAGGAAAAGAAAAGGAGATTTTTCCTTAGAGAACTTTCCTGTGGTAGTCACCCACAGCTTCTGTCTTCTGCAAGAAATCTGCTCCCTTTGGGGATAGGGGCAGTGAAGGTGCCTCCAGTTTCACAGTCTTTGTACCTTTCCTCATGCCATTTTCCTTTATGTCAATCCATTTGCTGCTCATCCCAGGGGCAATGATCCAGATGCTCACAGAGGAATGTTCTTTTTAAAGAGCATACTACCGGGATTGGGAAGGTGGCTCAGTGGTAGAGTGCTTGCCTTGCATGCCTGAGGCCCAGGGTTCGATTCCTCAGTACCACATAATCAGAAAGAGCCAGAAGTGGCACCGTGGCTCTAGTGGTACAGCACTAGCTTTGAGCTGAAGAGCTCAGGGACAGTACCCAGGCCCAGAGTTCAGGCCCCACGAGGGTAAAAAAAAAAAAAAAAGCATACTACCACTAGGATTAGGTGTATAGCTCAATGAAAGAGTACTTGCTTGGCATGCAGGAAGCCCTGCATTTGATCCCCAGCACTGTAAATAACAAATAAGGCCGCCTTGTCCCCTGTAAAGCCAAGCCAAACTAACTTTGACAGTTCTTATAGGTCAACCTATGGTTATCTAAATCTCAAAGTCATGTACATCTTAGTTACAAACGGATAGATTTTTTTCCTCCTGATCTTGTACTTCTGTCAATTATCTTCTTCAGATAGTTAATAGTTTCATATGATTCAGTGTTCACGTACCCTAAATTATCTTTAGCCATTTGCTTTCTCTGCCCAGAAACTCCTGCAGTTAACCAGTTTCTTTTCTTCTAAGACAGTATCTCACTACATAGTCCGAGCTGGCCTGGAACATGATCTTCCTGCCTCAGTTTCTTGTATCTCCTTTTTTTTTTTTTTGGGTCCGGTCGTGGGGCCTGAACTCTGGGCCTGGGCGCTGTCCCTCAGCTCTTCAGCTCAAGGCTAGCTCTACCACTTGAGCCACAACGCCAGTTCAGGCTTTTTTCTTTTTTGCTTATGTGGTGCTGAGGAATCAACTCAGGGCCTCATGCATGCAAGGCAAGCGCTCTACCACTGAGCCACCTTCCCAGCCCCCCTGCCTCAGTTTCTTGAGTGCTGGAATTACAGACAGGTACCACCACATCCAATTGTTTCCTGTGCCCATTGTAGATGATGTGCTCACTGATGATTTGCATCTGTGCTTAGCTTGTTTATCCCTGTCAATTTCAGCAGCTTTCAGGGATCTTTCCAGTTTGTTGTCTTTGGTCTTCCGAGGATGTCCAGGCTACGATTTTGATAAGCCTGCCTGTGTACTCCATCTTGACTACACCCACCAATCCTTCAGCATATTCAGTACACATGGAAAGAAAATCTGGAGTTAGGGCATTTTTGTTGCATTTAATGATGTCAATCTCCAAGATCCCTTGGGGGAAGAGTTTCAATGGAAGGCTTTCTCTCCCTCTGTAGCTGCGATTTGGTGGTGACAGGGTGGGTCCTGGACACCTCTTATTTCAAAACTTCAACAGGGCCTGTGATGTGTATCTCAGATTGGAAGCTATTTCAATTTGTTTTGTTTTAGAATTGAGGAAACTGAGGCCCAGAGAGGGGGGAAAAAGCTGCCAGGTGAAAGACCAGGGTCCACTTTATTATGGCTTTTATGGAAGTAGGATTGAACTCTGGGTCTAGTGCATGCCAGACAGGCATTCCACCACTTGAGTCACAGACCTTTTTGCTTTTGTTACTGTTTTTTACAATAGGGACTTTTTGCCTGGGCCAGCTTGGACTTTGATCTTCCTATTTAAACTTCCTCCCAAAGCTGATGCCGCTGTTCCCAGCTTGTTTTTTTCAAATTATGTTTCATTTAATTTTTTTTCTTTTTGTCGGTCATGGGGCTTGAACTCTGGGCCTGGGCGTTGTCCCACAGCTCTTCAGCTCAAGGCAAGCGCTCTACCACTTGAGCTACAGCGCCACTTCCGGTTTTCTGGTGGTTTATTGGAGATAGGAGTCTCAGGGTCTCTCCTGCCTGGGCTGGCTTTGAACCGCGATCCTCAGATCTCAGCCTCCTGAGTAGCTAGGATTACAGGTGTGAGCCACCAGCGCCCGGCTGTTTCATTTAATTTATTGGTGGTACTGGGGTTTGAATTTAGGGCCTTGAGCTTACTGTGTAGGTGATGTTACTAATGAGCCACACCTCCAGCCATTTTGTTTTTTTGTGGGTCATGGGGCTTGAACTCAGGGCCTGAGCTCTTTTGCTCAAGGCTACCACTCTACCACTTGGAGCCACAGGGCCACTTCTGTTTTATTGGAGATAAGATTCTCATGGGACTTTCCTCCCTGGCATTGTCTCTGAGCTTTTTTTTTTGTCTATCGGTCGTGAGGCCTGAACTCTGGGCCTGGGCGCTGTCCCTCAGCTCTTCAGCTCAAGACTAGTACCCTACCACTTGAGCCACAGCACCACTTTCGACTTTTTCTGCTTCTGTGGTGCTGAGGAATTGAACCCAGGGCCTCATGCATGCAAGGCAAGCGCTCTACCACTGAGCCACCTTCCCAACCCCTGAGCTCTTTTTGCTTAAGGCTAATGCTCTACCACTTTGAACCACAGTGACACTTCTGGGTTTTTTTTTGGTGATTAATTGGAGATAAGAATCTTAGACACTTTCTAGCTTGGGCTGACTTTGAACCATGATCCTCAGATCTTAGCCTCCTGGGTAGCTAGGTACAGGACAGACATGAGCCACTGTGCCCAACTAGGGGTCAACTTTATATTCTGCTGTTCTTGGGCAGGTCAGGTTCTTAATGACCACTACCTCTCTCTTGAATCTTTAGGTCATTTTGTCTCAGAGCATGGAAGGGAGATTGATCAAACAGAGTAGGTTAAGAGGAATAAGGACAAATAATAGCATGTTCTGCCCCATGCAATAGCACAGGT